TCCTTAGGTTTTACCTTGATTTTTCTTCTTTGACCAGCGGAGATCAGACGGTTTGTTGCTAGATACTTCCCAAACAAGATGATTCACTGTCCTGAAAAATTCATCATGTAAATGGGCAAATAAGGGGGAAATCATATTCCTTCCATTAAAAAATGGAGAAATCAGGTGCTGAACATCCAGGTGATTTACATGAAGTCACAAAGGGTTTGAAAGGGATCTGGGAAATAAAACTAGCTTCAGTGGAAAGGTCATTTCTCTCTTTCTTGCAGGCAAATACTTTGAACAGAATTAGAATGGACCTGAGCCAGAAATGGACAGCAGGGACTTTAAGGAAAATCAGAGGGCAAAATTCATCACTGACTAATGCCGTGACAATTTGTAACCTTTGCCATTCAGTGACTAGACACAATCTTTTGGAAGCGAGGTTAATAATTTTCAGCAATATACAGCCTTCTTTTAAGGAATGTGTGGTGATTACGGCAAAGAATTTCACATGGTCACAAAATATCTATCTTAGAGTCCTGGGCTTATAAAATACTCTATTTCCTCCATTAATTGTGTCCACGTGGAGCTGTAACTAAGTAGCTGAAACAAATAAAACCAAAGTAATATTGTTTCCTTTTAAAATATTTCACTTAATTTGTGGAAGAGGTTTGGGCTCATTAAAAATAGACCATCTCCCACGAGGGCTTTTTTCTTTTCTTCTCCAAGACTCTCACCAATCCTTAGTAACGTGTATAGCAGCACACTTCTCTTCAGCACAGCCCTGCTGGAAGCTGGTCTCCTGTTTGACTCAGCAGCTCCTGTCATGATCTGCAGCATGGCCAGGCAGCACTCATTTGACTAAGCAAAAGGAGGCCTTAGCGTCCTCTGATGAATCATTGCTTTTAGATGACCACTCGATGTCTCTGACTAAAATTTCCTCCTTCTATCTCCAGCTCATTAGGAAATACCACGCCTTTCTCCCTCGTAAAGATTTGGCTATCGTGAGCTATGCTTTTCTCATGGAGTATGTTCCTCTCAACTGTGCAAATAATGCCTAGACTTCAGCTAGCACCTATAGAGTGGAAGTTATTGAGGCACTTGGCTTCTTCTTGTGGATCTTAGTCTGCTCCCTAGTTTAGACCAAGTAAGTTATGGATCAGTTACTGGTTTCCTTGTGAACTTTACTGGTGAAATTTACTGGTGAAATCACAAACCTCTGTGTCATCTGTGACAGTTCCATTCCCCAGGCTGATGTCAATCACAAACCAGAAAACAAAGCATGTAAGACAGAGGTAAAGAGCAGTGTGGACCAAGGGTGTAAGTCTGCAAGAACAATGTGCAGAGGAGACCAAAAGACTTCAGAGGTTCCTTTCCTATTGAATATTGTTTTTCCAATGTCTTCAAGATATCTTTTCCTATTACACCCACTCCTAAAGAAATGTCACTCCAGCCAGAGCTCTCTTAAAACAAAAAAGGGAGAAGATCTGCTGATTCCACAAAGTCCCAGGTGAACTGTCCCATTACTGGTATGCTCTGACCAGGAAAGTGCTCACATTGCAGTGTAATAGGAGTGATGCTGAGACCCAACATAGATGGTGGATGGATCTGACCAAGGTGGGCCAAGTATGCAGGCAACCACTGAAGTTACGGTAAAGAGCAGAAGTTTAGATTGTGGCCTTCTCTACACTGGCATGTTTCACAAGGTAGCAATGCTTTGCTGGAACCCAGAATCCTCACTATCACCCAGAATACCAATGGAAACTTGAATGCTCATCAGATACCTGGATAAGATTTCACAGTATGTGCACTTCAGCCCTGTTGCATAAAGACATTTCTATAAAATTAGTCCTATTATTCCTCTTTGATTTTCTCCCTCTCTATTGTGGTCACACTGCAGAAGAATTTATCCTGATGCTACCAGGCAACAGCAAAACTATTAACGATGGGCATCCCAGACAAAAGATGTAGAACTGTTCAGAGGCTGGGTCACTCCAGTTCTTCTCATTGGTTTTGTTCTCTTTCTAGGGGGGGAAGCCGCATCTGGAAAATTACTGGTGTCCTGCTGTTCCCTATGATCACCACTGGGAACTGGCATATGGTCTTGTAAACTGTGATTAGATCTACAAAGTAAACTCTCATTATGACCTCTCTCAAGGTCTTTAAAAACACATTTCCCTAACTGCTATGATTATATTCAAATTCTTTCATTTTAGTAATAACAATGTTGTCCACATTTTCCTCTCTTCCTCATTTTCTGATCATAATCTTGTGGGTCTCAATAGAAAAATCAGTTCACAATTCTTTTCTCCCTGTGGTCTCCAGCTCTTGGCATTAACACTCTCCTCCCATCAGAAAGACAATAAAAATACAAACAGTTCTGGATGAGCTGAAACTGAAGTGTGGAGCTTTTCTGGAGCATATTAAAAGGTAACAACCACTAGTCGGTCATTTATATTATCCTAATTATTATTATTGCTTATTTTAGAGTCCCCCATAAAGATGATAGCTGAGATCAAGGCCTGATGATAGGGCAGATGCTCTGCAGACAAAGTGTGAACGCTGTCCTGTCCCCAGCAGCCTGGAACAGAACTACACCAATGCTGCATGAAAGTGCATGGCATCGTGAGAAATGCTTTCTCAGTGTGAGAACCAGAGCCCAGCTGAACTAATCCTATGTCCCTGCCACTCCTCTAATGTCTCTCTGTATAATCTGAATTCTTTCTTATGCATCCTCTAGTGATCATGAACACAGCTGTAGCAAGTGCTTCTTTTTAATAGAAGGCACAAACCCCAAAACTGCCATTACTCAGCCCCAGGAAACAAGCTCCCAGCAACTGGGTTTTGCCCAATATCTTGCCCCACTATAAGAACCGTGGGAGAATTTGAGTAGGATGAAGATTTCTGCCCCAAGTATGTTCATTTCAGAATATAATGTCATGCTCCAGGCAGGCACACAGTAGTCCTGGGTAACTTCAAAAGAGTTAATTCAGGATCATCTCTCAACCTGTAAGAGCCAAGAGGGAGAGCTGGGCCTGCTGATTCTGCAGGGACCAGTTTAGGGACTTCAGCACCTAAGAAAAAGGCATGTGACCACACTGAGGTAGTTTGGCTCATCTACGTTGTTCTTGTGTCCTCTGAGGGACGATGTGCAAAATCTACATACTGGACAGAGGGCTCTGCATTGCTTATACCAAATTTGTAAGAACTATGCAATATTACTAAATACACATTGACTGTGACAGAAAAGCCTGCTCAGACGTACCGTGGGAACTAAAGAGGCGTACAGGTCTAGCAGCAGTTTGTTTCACAGTGGAGATTGTGCATGCTGCAGGTCACATTTCCCTCTGCAGTCATCTTCTGGATTGTATTTATCTGTGTGTCAGAAATGAAGACACAGACATAAGAACACTTAACGTGTTTTTTTTTCTAATCTAGATAAAAAGGGAATCGATTGACATCTCATATTTCTGGGGTTTAGTGAGATCATAACTGCACTTTAATTGGTTTAATTACTAGAATATAATATTACAGGTATGTAATGTAGACCTGTAATATAGTTATACAATGTATGATATGTGTTATATATAATAAAATACCACAGGTCATATAACACAGTTTTCGTAACAATTATTAGTAGGATTATCAGTAGTGAATATTCAATGACATGAATAGAAATTTCCCATGAGTAATGTCTTCAGGATTCAGCTCTTCTTATCTAAGCTTCTAAGAAGAACATATATATGAAGAAAACATAAAATTCTTGAAATATGTAAATATTTGGAGGCTGAGGTTGAATTTGGCTTCAGTAAGCTGGAGGTGTAAGTTCCTCCACAATGTTTAGGCACATAACTGCCACTTCACATTTCCACATTTGCTTCAGAAATACATTTTTTCTTTATTTTTTTCCACATCTGGCTCAATACTCACAGTGGTTTTCATAATATATCTGCTGTCTGCGTTTTGGAAATGGCTATTAACAGTCACACACTGTTTTCCAAACATAATTGTTTAGATCTCTCTGGTGACACAGTTAGCATCTGGGAGAAACACAGTAGTGTGCAATTGTGTCTTTAATTATCTTTCCATTGTGAGAAGGGCTGGTACGTGCCAAGGCATTTATTATACCTGACAAGAACAATGTATTTACAATGGGTGTTTATACACTAATTCTTTATAAAAATACCTTGACAGAAAGTGCTCCACCTGCCCTCATGTTCTCTATCGCAATTGCTAATTAATATTATTGTGCTGAAAATGATTCTATCTATTAAAGCTTCTGTCATAACTGCTGCTCCCTGCCTATCTATGTCTAATTAACCTGCCACTGACTCACATGCTGGGAAGGATGTTTGTTAGGCAGATGTAGCCTTGCTGATCTGATTTCCACTGCTCCATTTGATTTTACCTAGAGTCCTCCATTCAGCTAAGTATGTGCCTCACCTGAAGGATGTCCAGTTGGTCTGCATCTCCACTCAGCACTTCTTGCACTCAGCCACTGCTGCTGATTAAGGTTTAGTGCTATATTCTAGTACTTGGCAATGCTCCCATTGATATTACTGGAAACAGGGCTGACCATAAGCATATATTTAAAGCCAAGTGCCACCTGATTCACTCTGCCAGTTACAGTGCTTAAGATAGAGTGTGCAAAATGATTCTGAAAAATACCGTACAAAAAGATTGCATCTGTTCTGAATTTTCTGTGTGTATGTCAAGCTAAAAAGATGTTTATATTGCTTGCATAAATGAGGGTTGATTCTTCAAAGTGAAATAGAATGCAACTGTTTTGCAGGTTTGGTCTCTGGGAATTATGACAAATGCTGGGAAGGACAGTAGTGAGAGCCCAGCTGTTGCTCCCTGAAGAGCCACATTCAAAGACTGACTGCTGTCTGTAAGACGCTTTGCGCTTTATTCTGGGCTCGTATCTAAGTACATAAAGATACAAACAGAAGTCTAATGTGATTGTCAAAAGAACATTACTCACCCCTCGGGAGGCCTCTTCTTCTGCCAAAGAGCTCCTGCCTGGCTCAGCTCAAATTGCAAAATCTCCATGTTCTTCTGTTTCCCATCTGTTACAAGAGAGATAATTACAGAGGTGCTAAGAGGATAAACACAGTAATGTCTGGGAGGTGCTCAAAAAAGGAGTACGTAGGATAGATAGAGCACGAGTAGTTACTCTTGTCTCAAGGCATGCCTGAACTCTGCAGTGACACACTTGTTAGTTGACCACAAACTCTGCTGTGATGTGGTCCAACAGGGCTGGGTAAGAACTCTCAGGTTACGCAGTTGCCCTCTTCAGGTTCGCTTCAGATTAGCTGCTAAGAAGTGTTAGACTCTGAAGACATCTTAGGCTTTTTCAATGACTAAGAAACCATTATGATCTCCTGGAGGAGAAACTTTTACATCAGATTTCTGGTATCCTTCTGTGCCATGGGAGATACTGCCAGTTACGGTGAATCATAAGCAGGGAACAAAACCCAATCTCTTCTTCCATTCTCCAAGAAAGTCTAACTTAAAATATTGAGGATCATTCCAGCTGGAAACCACTTCTTCATCCATCCCAGCTTGCTAGGCTGGTCTTGGCAATAAAGCTGTTTGCCACATGTTTCTCAATATGTGGCAAAGGGGGGAACCCATCTTGCCAATCTGGCAAGTGGGGGCCATGCAGAAGGAAATGGTGTCTTAAGAGAAAGATGTCATGTAGTGAGCCACTGTCTCTTTTCCTTGGGACCAGCTCTATGGTGTGTGTTACAGATGAAATTCCAGGCAAATGTGATGAAATCTTGTGGAGGAATGGCAAAGTGATGAAAGCCATGCACATATGCCATCTATTAGATAAGGCATTCAAACTTTTTTTCTTGAAATAATCAGTAGCAGCTAAAATCAACCAAAAAAAGGGAAACAAAGCTTAAAAAGTGAGCCTATCTTGGAGCATAAAAAATTAGTGAATCAAAAGGAAGAGAAAGATGTGGAAAAATGAAGTCTTCCCCCCACTGTGAAACCATGGTGTTCTTGTAAACAAAGGGAAAAGAGATATTTATTCACAGAGAACTGCAACCATGCCACTGTGCAATGAAACATGTCAGCATGTTGGTGTCTGTGCATCTTCAGCACTAACCAGGATTTAGGCATGGCAGAACATGCTCTATCTAAGCCTGCTCACAGAGAACCCCAGGGTCCCCCACCCAAAAGGAACACTTTCCTCCCAGACATCTCCTCTGACAATCCTGACCTTTCTCCTGCACTTGGAGAAGAGCTGGAAGGTGGGTAGAACTGACCATACTACTAGTACATTGTGGACAAATAACCTTTATGAGAATATTGTTCATCAGTAATTCCCACAGGAGCTGAAGGTATGAGGCTCCTCACCAGATCATCACGTGCTATTGTTAATAATAATAATAATAATAGAGGGCAGGGGAAGAAATAATATTGCAGCTTCCTTTCAACCGTGAGACCTGTGTGTGCTGGGAGAGTGAGGATTCCACAGGGCACTTGACTCTGTCTTCTTTGAAGCAGCAGTAAATAGGAATGTTTGGAAAAACTTAGTAAGAGCCATATGAAAGCACCATATCCATATGTGGTTATGTAAGGTATATATAAGGAATATACATGTATTTCTTTGAAACAGGGAGCTCCACCAGCAGATCCCTTTATGACTACACTTTGCTTTGAAAGGAAAACATCCAAAGGAAAATGAAAAATGTCAAGAGCACCGCAATCGTTCCACTTCAGAATTTAGAGCATGAAGCATTTGGCTTTTTTACTCTAAAGTTTTCATGTAGATCATTATGCAAGACTGAAAAGCAGGAGTAGAGACATCAGATTTGGGCTCCATTCTTAGGACAGAAGGAAGATTTTTTTTTTTTTCCTGGGGCAATTCCTAATCTCTAAAGTGAAATGTCAAAGTTCTTTCTTGCTATGGGTTTCAAGCTCATACATCATTTCGAGCACTGCTTATATTCCTGTCTATATCACCACCATCACCATAGCAGCTGCACATCGTGTCTCCTGGCTTAACAATCCTCACAGAACCGATGGACCACAGAGAGACACTACTATCCTCACAGCTCTGGGAATTGAGGCAGGGAGCAAGTATGTGAATTTTTAACTTCATCTAGAGCTTTGCTGACAGCACTAGGTGACAAGCTGGTTCTTATGAGACTGTGATCCACAGCTCTGTCAAAAAAATCTCCTTCTCTGCTCTGTTTTGAGTAAGAGGTACTGACAAGGAAGCTTTTGTTGTTGAGGAGTTGGCTGTTGGTCTGAGCTCTCGCACTCTTGTTAGGGAGGCCATGAGGGGAGAGCAGAGTGCCGATCCCAGCAGGAACACATGTCCTACGTTTGTCCGTCTGCAAAATAATTCTTCTGCATGTCATTTAGGCTGAGAGCCGAGCCTGGGATCTGCTATATGGCTAAGTTCCCTCCTCACGGCAGCCAGAGCAAGCGTGGTGACAGTTCTGGGGAAGGAAATTGAAATGTTTTGGGAAGTTATGGCATGGGGAGTGACATCTGTGGCAATGGGCTCATTAAGTGAAGGATTCAGTGTAATACATATTATAACAAGGTCATATTCTCAGAAAACTAGAACTTGCCAGCAAAACAAACTAAATCAGTCAAGCTCATGATTCGGTTTGCTTCCAAACTCATCTTTAACCTAAACTCATCTCAAGGTCATCACAAGTGGGCTTGTATGAATCTTGGGGCCTAATCCTCATCTAGCACAAGCTGGAGTAAGTCCATTAAACTCAAGGGAACCTAGCCAGTTTACATCAAAGTGTGGTTATTCTTAAGGTAAGTCGTTCAGAAATACGTAAGTACTTAAATCCAGTTATATTTTTTAATAAAGCAATAAATCAGAAACCTACCAAGATACAGACTATCCAGTAGTTTTTTTTTCAAGTCATGGGACAAACGTCCTATATATTACAGAGCCACAGAATTGCAGGGTTGGAAGGGACCTCAAGATCACAGTCCAACCCCTGCTAAAGCATGTACCCTACAATACATCAAATAGGTAGGTGTCCAGCTGGGTCTTAAATATATTCATAGAAGGAGACTCCACCACCTCTCTGGGCAATTTGTTCCAGTGCTCCAACACCCTTACTGTAAAGAAGCTCTTCCATAAGTTTATATAAAATTTCCTGTGTTCAAGTTTTAGGCCATTGCTCTTGGTCCTATCACCACACATCACTGGGAAGAGTCCACCATCATCCATTTGCCTGTCACCTCTCTTTAGGTATTTATAAGCTTTAATCAGATACCCCCTCAGTCTTCTCCCCAGGCTGAACAGATCCAGGTTACTCAGCCTTTCCTCATAAAGGAGATGCTCCAGACACACTGAGTCACTTATACTGTCATGTGGGAAGGTAGAAAGAGCACTGAGGCCTCTGGGGAGTATTTCCTAGCCCATCTTCTGCCAAGAAGGGACATCCAGAAGTATGTGGGACTGATCACAGTGCTCAACAGTGGTGGCAGCCAAATGTGCCACCAGGAGAGAAACTGGAGAAGAAACCAGGGGAGAAGAGAGGAGACACCTCTCACTTGCAGTGCCCAAGATTCCTGTGCCCCAGCCCTGCTGCATCTCCTTCAGCATCTGCGTGCTCTCACCAGCTTCTCACAGGCTCACCTCACTAACTGAAGAGGTGCACCTACCTTCAGAGAAATGTATTCCTCTTGGATTACATTAGATGTGCATTTGTTTAGCTGCGAGATCACACAAACCCAGCTCAGACGGCCCCGAGAAAGCACTTAGATGAAAAACGTGTCTAGAAGTAATGAAGACCTGTGCAAACCCTAGCCTTATTTCAGCTTTTAAAACAGATCAGCTTCAGCATCCAGAACCCTAAATACTGCATTCCAGATTGAATTTTGAAGCTTCAAGAAGGAACAAACCATTATAGGCCTCTGTCATGGTATGACAGGCTGACATGGGTTGGCTCCGAACAGTCCCTTCATGGGATTGAGGGACAGATGAACTTTGTGAATTACTTTCACTTTTTTGTATTAGAGAACAGTAATTCCCCTTGCTGCAACCCAATTTCTAACCACAGTGAATTGCTCTGAGCTCAGTCCCAGAGATTCCTATTTGTGGGAACAATCCCCATCTTCAGAAAGAGTAAGATGGGAATGAATGAATGAATTCCCTCAGGAAGAAGAGACTGTTTGGAAGCTTAAGAATGAAAAAAAAAGATGGTTACCTGGATTGGAAGTGGCTCAGGAGATCAGAAGAAGCAACAACAGCTCTGAAAAAAGGAAACAAACCCAGTCACATCTCTTTTAAAGAAAAAAGGTTAAAACCCAAGGATGACCCAGGGACCAGAAGCTCTTTTGCTTTGGACCATTACCTCTAAGGACCCTAGTACAGTGGCCTCTGAAAAAGATTGAGGTCTTTAGGTATTGAGTACAAAGAATATGAATAATATCACCTAATAAAGCACTGAGTTGGAGAAACATCTATTTTAATCTATTTGTGGGTTGTTTTTTTTTTAACTTCTGTACTTAAGTAATTGTCTCCCTTTAAAAAAAAAAAAAGTGTGCATAATATATGACAGAGGCAAAAGAATATTAAAGTAGTAATTACTTCTACTTAACAATTAGTAGTACTGTTTGAGAATGTTTTGAATGAGATTTATTGTATGTTTGCTCTTTTTAAATTTAGAATTATAAGCTTAGCTCTGATTATTTTTCCACCAAAAATTAAGAATAATTTATAGCACTTTTTTTGGGGGGGGGGGGGTCGGGGCAGGGGGCTCTGAAGAGAGGGATGCAAAAACAGGAAAAAACATGTAGGAAGGATAAATTTTTTTGTATGTAAGCAACGTTTAAATGGACTAATTAAATTTACCATAATCAATAAAATGTGTGACTCAAGTTTATTGAAGTGGCTATTTCCCATTGCATAATTTCCCTGGGGAACTTTCATTTTTAATTCAAAAATAATAATAAAAAATAATAAAAAAACCCAAGCCCCTGAGCACTTACTGTAAATATGCCAGCATATGTGTGAGGTTAAGAAAAGCACGAGCCTACACCCAGGAATCAAAGAGGGGCTTACCACTGCTTTGACACTAATTGTAAAAGCTAAACATTTTCTAGAAACATAATCAAATATTAACTGCCACGGGGGACTCATTCAGCAGTTCACAGTAATTCTAATAAGGTACAGAGCCTTTCACCTTTAGGTCACCAGTTCAAACCCACTTTGGGCTAGTTAGTAAACAGAAGGTAAATCCCAAGTCCAGTGAAGAGCCAGAGTACGGTATATGCCAGTGCATCTGTCGGGCAGAAGTGAGAAAGTGCGTTCCTTTTGTTTTCTTCTTTGCATCCTAGGTCATCCATGATTCCCCTGTGTCTGATGAGGCCATCTCTTCTGTGGACTCACCATACATTCCTTGGCCTCAGATCCTCCCTTCTGGAAATGGGATGGGAAACTGCTCTTCTTGCTGCCCTTTTTCAATGGCATCTTGCTGCGGTGTTTTTAAATATTTCTGTATCCTCCCTCTCAGGAAAACCTAAGTAGCAATATCACTACTGTCCCCCATCTGTGTGCACAGTTCCTCCTAATGAATTATTTCATGTACTTGGAGCACAATGTGGAAAACACACTGATCTAACATGTAATTGAAAATAACCGGCCCCCACCCCCCTGCCTCAGGCTGCACAACAACCGGTTCTGCCAACAACAGCACCATTTGAGAACAGAAGCAGAGTCCTTATTTCAGCTTTGCACCTGGCTTCAGGTAGGAATTCTCACACTGCTTGGAGCCACTGTGGCTTCTACATGAACTCACAACTCCAGCCTGGGCCCTCGGCACCGACACTGCCAACTGCCCCAAAGCAGCTCAGATTTTGTGCCAAACACCTACACGTCTCCCCACTACACCAATGTCTGGACAGATCCTTGCTCTACCATGTCTTTCATGAGGAAAGCATGAATTTGGCTCCTCATTTTTTTTATTTTTATTTTTTTCCCCCAGCTGAGTGCCAACCAGAGGATGGCTATGTGAAGCAACCTAAGAACAGGTGGTGACCAACACAGACAGTCTCCTTCCTCACACACACAATCTATGTCTTGTATGCACAGACACAGCGGACGCAGCCTCAGGAAACTGTACTTGCTGAGAACAAATCTTGTTGTGTTTAATTTGTGGATCTCATTTTAGGCTGAATTAGTTCCCAAGGCTTGGTAAGGCCAACTTACTGCCAGGCCACAACAGCTTCTGGTGGGAAACAGCCTGCTGTGAGACGAGATCAGTTTGTGAATACATTCAATTCAAGTGATTATGATGCCACAGTCACATCGAAGCAGTGCTGCTGATCCATTATACGGTGTGCTATAAACAGCAGCTGTTGCTGTCTTGCAGGATCTATCTTCAAGTTAGGACCCACGATCAACCCACAGGCAGGTTCAACCTCCCTAGAAGCACACTGCTTTATTTATCAATGAAACATGAGTCTTGGGCGCTCCTCTGGGAGCAGAATGCAGGCTAGATGAGTTCTAGCTTGCTTCTGCTTGCTGTCTTTTGCAGGCGCTCCACAGTTTCCTGCTTCTCCCCAGCCAGGCTCCATACACACAGTGAATTTGATACTTTAAGGTATCAAAATAATCAGTTTAATGCATACATACAGAAGAAATGTCCTGTGCATGCCCAGATAGTCTGTTCAAGTGATGGGGAAGGGCTAGAGTGGAACGACCCCTTCCTATGGCTAGAGGAAAGCTAGACAAGGAAAACTTTGATATTCTAGGAAACCCAAAGCTCAGAGGGGATGATGTGGAGGCTGTTTTACGGTATTTAGTTATAGCATGCAATCCCATCTTTCTGGCTATGATGATATATATATATATCCACGTACGTGTGTGAGCACACATAATAGTCTGAGGCCTCAATTGTGTCTTACGCTAACGTAGATGAAAAGTTGAGGAGCTGCAAGGAACAATTCTTTCATTGCCCTTTACACATTTGGGTTAATGTTTCCTCCTTGAATTAGTCCTCACCAGAATGTTCCCTCTCTACTCACCACAAGCTAGTAGTGCCAATTTCCCTCCATGGCAGCTCCAGTGACAGCTGTTTACTTGGAAGCTCATGGATTTGATATATGGGTGCTAGCCACAAATTAATGGAATACTTTCCAGATGCAAAGTCTTTAAACATTTAAACAATAAGCCCAAAGCACTAAGCTGTTTTGGCCATTTTTTCTCTTCACTCTGGATGTCACTTGGAGATGATGTAATCACAATTACTTGGGACAACGAACAGAACACTTAATTGGTTTTGGAGTAACAGCATGGGTTGCTGGATGGCAGTCAGTCGATGGTGCCATTTGTCACCTGATGCCAAGATCTGAAATGGCTGAGAAGGACAGTGGAATAAAGAAGAAAAAGAAGTACTGAAGCTAACTGCTAGCAGGTGGCCTTCCCAGCCTAGTCAGAGAGCTGTGCGTGCTGGCCCAGCCTCCTAGGTTCAGGTAAGATACACTTGGCATAGACACTAAAGAACAGCTCTCAAAATGTCTCTGGAGGCTCTCTGGAGCATTTCAGAACAACAGAAGTGTGTGGAGGATGATTACAGTGAACAGGGATCACAAAAACACCTCAAACCTCTCCGTGCCAGGTGTTATCTAGAAATCAGTCTGGAGCAAAGGACCTAGCTCAGAAATGGAGACCCAGATCAGTCCCAGACATGTCTCTCTTCCACACTAGACCTTCAGCAGATCTCAACTTGCCCCTAATGCACCCCAATGCTGAAGACTAGGACAAGTCCTCCTGACAGCATTTGAGGGCAAAAATCAGCATACGAAAGTGGGCTAAATTTCTATGGGGCTGTAAGTTTAACTGTTGGTATCTTTGCTCAAACATAACAACAGGTCAATTTGAAAACTTCTGTGAAGTAGAATGGCTGCACTGAAGCCGGATGGTAATGATTTATACCACCTCAGAACCTGGGCCAAGAAGTGTAACTGACTTCTTGGCCAATTTACATCACTTTTTTCTTATCCCTTTGCATTTTCTTTGGCATCTTCTTCTTTGCATTTTCTCATTTTCTTCCCCCAAAATTTAATGTGATCTGGTCAGTTGAGCTACCAGGACATCGATTTTTTATCCAGACATTAGGGGGAGGAACCTTCTTAAACACTTCTACCTACTTACAAATGCCAGCAAACATGAGCTGTGTGCTCTCGTATTAGACAAGGCTAAGACAGAGCTCCAAGCAGCCCTGCCTGAACTTGAAGTCAGTTCAAGCCTGAAATACTGCCTGTTTGAAGGTTTCTTCTTTATTCCTTCCAATGCTGTGATTAATTAGAGAATTAATACGTATTAAACTTATCATCATCTTTACTAGATGGAAAAATTCAAATTCATTATCTAATGGGAGGAAAATAAGCATCATTTTACAAGGGCTTTAGAGCAACAGCGGTAATAACAAACCACCCCAAACTCTAGTCCACAGGCAGCACAGACATCTGCTAAAAAAATACGATGATTCCCCCACCCACCACCCTCAAATTTAGGGATTTGTGGGGAATACGGGCCTTGCCTGAAGTTGTTGGCAGGAATCCTCATGCAAAGTTCTTATTTAATGAAATCATGTGGTAGTAAATCAAACACAGAACCAGGAATAAGTAAATCCACCACATCCTTTGAAAAAAAGTATGGTTTGATTCTGTCAACTCAAGTTGCCTGGGCAATGAATTATCTATATTTGTCAACTAAAAAGCCATCAACCGACAATCATCCATCTTTTTGGTACAATTTTCTAATCCTCAGTCTCAAAGCTGAGCTGAGAGCCAGCACAACATGGACAGGTTAGTCACAAAAAGACCTGCTAGAACTAGTGCTAAGCTGTTGTATCTTTGCAAAGTCTGTGCAAATGGCACAAAATGCAAAACTTGTGCCCTCTTGCAAAGTGTTCGCATCTGAATGTTAAAAGAAAGGTGGCAAATTTGTGTCATGAACAACATGAGGGAAAGCAGGTAGAAAGAGCACATTGACATTATGATACAAAAACTTAGAAGTTGGCTTTATGGACTTGGTAGTTATGCTGGTGGTTGGTGTTGATTATCTGAAGGGTCCTTTCCAACCACAATGATTGTATCTAATAACTTCTGATGTCAGAAGGAGCCTTAACACAGATCCACTTTACATGGCTTTCTCTTTGCCCACGGAGGTTCAGGGCCATGGAAAGGTGCTGAGTAGCTTTCTGATAAATTCCTTATAATTAGGTCACAACTATTACAGCTCAAA